TCTTTATACTTTTCTGAGGATTGTTGGTCATTTGCATCTTACATAAAAGAGTCTAATCTTTGATTAACACCTGCATGCACGCATTTGTACTCTGCTCTCTCCTAGACCCAAAGTCCATGTCAATCGAGGATAAGAGGAAATTGCTTCAAATTTGTACATATTTCGAGAATAAGAATTACGATTTTTTATTCCAAAACATACCTCTTTTTGCATGGAGTCAGAAAACACTTGCTATCATCTGGACTTTTTTATTGCTAGAAAATGATGTGTCTTATCCAGTGCAAGACGGACCTTAGATCTCCTACAAACCACCATAGATCACAACGACCTTGCGCAAGTACTGCCAATCGCCCAGTAATAAGTGTGTCGATAATAATTCACTCGCAGAAATTTGTATATATATTTTTGGTAAACCGCTTAATTTGCTTTTAGCGTTTTCGTAATTCAACAGATAACATAAGTGGTTAATTGTCCATTGATTATTGTTATTGCTTTTTGGTATGCCTCTTTTGCATTTGTGCTCTTTTTGCATCATTATTTCAAATGGGTTATTAGTCACGTGTAATTCATGCTGTGCGTGTATAATTAATTTAATATTTAGCGAAGTAAGTTCCGTTAATAAAACTATCAGTTTTATAAATATCGTAACTATTTAGTAATTCGTTAGTTAAATTTATATAATTTCGACAACCTTAGATAGCTGTTTACGTTATGCTGCAATTAAACCACAAACTGCGGGTAATTATGTGCATTACCCAACCGACTTTTCATTCAAAAAGTAAGGGAACGGTTATTATCGTTTTACTAAGAGGTAACCCAAAGAATTTCGTTTTCTACATCATTTTGAAAAGAACATAAAATTATATCAGAGACTAGCAACTAAGTAGTTTAGCTATATGCTATTGTTGTCCGATCCAAACAATATCTTCAGAGATTGTAGCAATGGGTTAGATTATATTCTAAATTTCGTGAAGATACCTTGTCAAATAACAAAGTCCGATTCCAACAAATGAGCAGCTTGGTGAGAAAAGGACGTTTGTAAAATTCTAGTTCGATATCTCGAAAATTGAGGTTCGCGTATATACAGACGGACAGAAGGACATGGCTAAATCTACTCAGCTCGTTATGCTGATCATTTATATAAGTAAACCTATACTTTGTAGAGTATCCGACGTTTTCTTTTGAGTGTTACAAACATCGTGACAAACTTAATATACCCTGATTAGCGTACACAAATTTTTATCTAAATACCATATATTAAATGTACCATAAATCTCATATTTCGGATTTTATATGAATGGATCACATTGAGATATATATTTGAATCCCGTACTTACTTGTATGTTAAGGTTTTTATTTTTTTGATTCAACTAGAAGAGGTTTGTGCCTAACAAAGTGCCTAAACTAGTTTTACCGTACTGCCAGAATAATTGATTTTTAGGTTCCCCATATTCACGAATTTTTTACCTGGCCAGGCCACCACTGATGGTAAGTATAAATCATTTTTTTAATGAAACTTATTTACGTACTCGTTACGGGAATAATATGTCACATGACAGAACCAAATTGTAACTAAAAATCTGTCACACAGAACTCGAGTTTTGGAAATAAATTCGATTTATAAACTATTTTCGGTGTAAGTTTTTGTGTGGAAATGTGTCAAAGTCTATTGAAATGTTAATGTTAAATACCAACACAAGCGTTAATTTTGACAGCTAGACTGACAGATAGCTCTCTAGGAAAATCTATATCCTATACTTAGTTAGAACAATGCCTAACGAGTTCAGTGAGTTATACAAAATTTTGTCTGAAGCGTGTAACAGTTTTATTGAATAATATTTATTTTCAAGTTTTGAAGTTCCTAGAGGAGGTTCCTATCGACGCTGATCTAAAACATTTAATTTCACGCATTTGTGTGACCTCTTTCGCCATTCTCTTGTCGCCACCACAAATCAATTCCTTATTCGAGCACTTTCGACTTACTTTATTGGCACCAAATCTTTCGTAACCATAATGCTGATAATACAATAACAACAGCAACAGTTTTCCTTATCGAAGGCCGAAACCATGCATATAAGATATAATATGTATGACTGCATGCATGGTTTGCGCAGCAGCTAAGCGTATTCAAGTACTCCAACAACAGCCACCCAATGGCTAATAACAGTCGAGCTCCACAACGCTGATGCACTGATTTTAACCGGAGTGAAGTGAACGGCACTCAGCGCGGAAATGCGTGTGCGTCAACCGACTAGTAAGTGGTTTGTGGTTTTGAAAATCAAATTTTCTATTTTTCAGTAGTTCGACTGCTGCAGGCGCGACGCAAATGTGCAAATGTATGATTTCATATGCGGAAACGACAAGAGCAATAAGCATTGGCGGCAATAGTGGCAATGATGGCAAGAGCGTCAGCAGCTGGTAACCACAGAGAATTCCTTTTTTCATCACTTAGCTATTTCCTTTACTTGTGGCTATGTGCAATCCTGCATATCTCTCTAGTACATACTCGTACATACATACCATATCGACTGGACTGTTATGCAACATGTATTTGTGGTTTCTGTGTGGCCTGCTTTGCTGTTGTTGGTTGGTTGCAGCAATGCCAATCTCGGCAGCGAAAACAATTACAATTACAAATTTGTGCTGTCGTGCGTTGTGACAATGTTGCTACAACAACTGGATTTGTGCTGCCACTCAACTGCCAGCGAAATTTTAAGCCATATTATTGCCGGTAGTTGCCCGCAGCTTGTGAATTCAAGTCCACAAAGTCTGTGTACATATACGAGTACCATGTGCGATTTCCCAGTTACCAGGTCCTGTTGCACGGTTATGTACGTTAAAACAAATTTTCAACTGCTCTGCGGGAAATTAAATCACTGGGATTTACTCTTGGTTTCTGCCCTGAATACTAAAACGTTTATATGTAGGAGCTTGTTTCTTACGTGGAAGTTCTACGAAGATCGTAATTATAGCAAAACGGCTCAGAGCTGTCAGGTCACTTGACAGCTCGGTATTGTGTCGTTATATGTAGACTGTTTTGTGCATTTGACAGCCTCTATCAAATCTCAAGGATTCATTGACTGCCTCTATCAAATCTCCTTGATTGAGCGCGATATAAAACTGCCTCTTGTCGACGGGTGCTGCTTTGGGTTCGGTCATTTTTAACCATTTGCACCTCCCAAAAGGCTTGATCAATTTTGTCAGATTCGAATTGACTACTCCACTTAAAATTCATATACCGGGATGCCCTTGGTGATATCTGTTGGATAATTGCGAGCGGATCACACAAAGTTCTAAGTCTATTATGGCTTTTCTAGTTCACTATCTAGTCATTGTTAGATATGCATTGAGCTGACTAAAGTGATATGGGCAAAGGTAATTAGGTGTAAGTTGGTAAATATGTTTTTTTTTTGGCTAAGAGTATGTATGTGGAGATCACGTCTGTATCTAACTATGAGTTCCTTTCCTGTTACTGGTTACAAGTTGACAGCATGTGAGAAATATTCACTAATACCAGAACCGTCTTCACATTATTTAGACTAGGGTTCAATAATTGCATTTGTGTCTGATAGTTTGCCAGGAATTATAGTGCAACTTAACCAGCGTTGTTTCTGTACTTGATAGTAGTGCTGAATTTCAAGAAATTATATACCACGACCAAAATTTGTGCAGTGTCAAGATTACATGCCTCTACTTGTAGCTTGCTTACTTCCTGTGCTGAGGTCTACAGCCGAAATACATATGTATTCGGTAACTTAGTACCAACTGTCGTCGGAACAATGGCAGTCTAGCTTGCTTACTAGGGTATACCATTGTTCAGCATATCCGCTTATCCGCGATTTCCAGTTATTGCAAAGAGAAGAATTGTAAAAAATATGATTTTTAATCTTTATGTAGTGGAGTATGGAGAGCTTACGCAGAACAAGCGGCTTTAAGCATTATCTTCTGTAGAATGATAAAAAATGATAACATTCGACATGCTTACTATTGAGTGATTTTTTGCATCACGAGCCCATCCATTAAAAATTAATGCGATTTTGCTGCATGGTAACCCACTGCCTCTCTACATATACGTGCATATTTCGTCTTCCGTACATTTCCGCGTTACGTATTATCAACCTCAATGCGCCTTGAGTGGGGCAGCAGGTAAGTCGGTGTGGAAATCTTTGCAGCAGCATACACTTAACTGCCGTTGCCATAGCTGCCGCTGCATTTGGTTATGGCCAAAGTAGTTGGTGTGGCATTTTGCTCCGTACAAATGCTTTTACCACAAAAGCCAAATGGCGCCAAAGTCTCCACATCGGTACATAAGTGATTCTACAATAATATGCTTACGTACTTACCACTCTTCCTATGCACGGATGCGTCGCTGTATATATGTGTGTGTGGGTGTGCGTTTGAGCGATTAAAATATCGATGGTGCTGGTGATGCTGCTGCTGTTGCTTAGAAAATATGGAATCGCCTTCATAACAGCGCCCCCACAGACCAGCTGCAATATGTTGTGGTAAGAAAAAGAGGTGCGTCTAATGTGATTTTTGAAAATATTTCGACAGCAACAATAAATCGCACAAAATCGGCAACAGAGCAATAAGTGAACTTGCTTGTAATATTTTTGCGACCGGTTTTTCTTGCTACACAAGGTCTTTGTTGTTGTTGTTGTTGCAATTTGTGATTACTTTGCATTTATGTGTTTGTTACTGCATTGTGTGTTGCTGTTATTACTTTTATTCGTACTTGGTAAATATTTTTCTTGCATTTTTTGCGGTTTAAAAGTTTTTATTTTTCTTAAATAATTTTTTCTACGCTCAGCTAAACTCGTTTGTACGCGTATCAAATAGCAGCAATAAAACGAAAAACTTAAGAGGGAAGTAATGTTGAACATAATTTTGTTCATTTCTTGTTTCTGCAGCAATAATCTCTGTGGTTTAGTGTGCTGGAGTAATTCATTTAGTGTCGAGCACTTAACTTCTGAGAGTTAAAAGTAAAACAAAATATAAAATTTAAGTATTTTAAATAGTTTTTTCTTGCCTTTAATTTCTTTTATTTATTTGTTATTGCATTACCACAAAAGTTTCTAAATAAATCTGTTAAAATGCAACGTTTTTCAAGTGAACTTAAATTCTTTGAGCTGTACTCGCTCAACCTAAGAGCTGGATTTTGAAGATTGCCTCTAAGGGCGAAGTATTGTAGCTTGAGTAAGCGAGTTATTTTAATGCGTAATTGGGTTGGGAATTCAGAAAATGCCGACTGAATTAAAATATGAAACTATAAAAATTTCTTTCTAATATCGATCTCCTGTTTATACCATTCTTCGCGTTCATATCTGCTAAGGAAAAGTCAACAACTGTTCAGTGTCACAAACCAACACTGGAATAAATATCTTTGGTCATTTAGTCATATTCGCATTTGATTCCTTCATAGCTCCGTCCATCTTAAGAATAAGCCGATACCTTTGTATTCCCATTGGCGATGCCAGCGAACAGCTTTCCCTTTCTTTCAGAAAACTTTTTCTCAGATCCTTCCATTCTCAAGCAGCTGATAGATTTAGTTTCAGAAAATTTTAAAACTTCGAGTGAATTACTGTCATCTAAGGGCTCTTCATAAAATACGTGTCTTCCGGAGCGGGTTTCAAATTTGTAGGACCCTTTATTATTTGGGATCTTTTAACTAACTGAAACAATAACCCTGACCGATCCAACACCGTGGTGTTTCCAGCCTCTCACTTCAATGGACCACTTAAAAGTTGTAACTCAATATCACTAACATCCGTGATATTCGCCTGATGGCTATAATTATTATAACCTCAACTCAGGGATTTTTAGATTTCACAATAAGATCTGTTTAAAAGAGGGACTATACTCTCTTTTTCTTCCTGGCCGTATTTTTTAACCCTGAGTTTCCAGGATATTTATTGATCCAAAGATCATTGATTACCGGCTTTCTTTAGATTCAACCTCGAATTCATCTCAAGCCTTTGGAATTTATGAACACATAAATGCTACTCAGTAGCAGCGTGGTCTCCTTCCGATTATGTAAATAATAATATTATTTTTCGTCTGTTGTTATGTTGATTTAATTATTGTATAATACCAAAAGGAACTGTTACTTCCAAGACAATTAAAAGTTCCAGGCGGCGAACCTTCGTATTATTAAAAACGAAATCCATAAAAAGATACGACATCTAAAGATAATTGAAGTCTCTTCTGTTGGGTATATCGTCTACATCAGACTTGTTCCGTATATTTCCGTAGCCTGTTTAAAAAATGACTTTTATTTCCACAGCAAGTTATCTAGTAATGTAGAGTTTGAACGTAGGATATTTAGGCTTTTGCTATCGCGTTTCATCGTTGCGCTCAAACCACTTGGTGCTCTCAATGAAACTACTTACATCCGTTGTGCTTTTTGTGGATAACCATTTAAGGTTTGGTGCCTGATGGGTTACAAGTATTTTGTATCAAGATTGTGATAGGGCTGAGCTTATTCCCTTATTCCCTTCTAGCTCTCCAAAAGGCCAGTATCCGTTATAGTCGCTGTAGGTCTATATATATAATTTCTGGACCTATTTAATAAGTTCTTGGTTCTATACTTGCCATACTTAGGCCATATCTGCTTTGTTAATTTGCAGTTATTGTTTTCTATCTGTTCTAAACTATTTGTATAAAATGCACATAAAGCTGTCTTTTGATCTTGCTCATTGGGCATAGCATTAACTACGCCTCGGATACGTCTGAAGAGGCCACTAGCTTTGCCTACTACCTTGAAATCTAACCTTGATTTACTATTAAGCTGATTCAGGATGGTGCTATGTCTATATTCTTTCCAGTTCCTTTATCCTGAAAGCAGAATTTGCTGCTACGTTCCGAATGAACTCATCTATGGGCAGTTGTTGCAGCAGCGTATTGTATACATACATTTATGTATATGCAGCAGATCCAAACCAACTAGATAAAAGAGTCTTTCAATGAGCTCTGTTTTAATGGTATAGCAAGCCAATTCTAAACCAACCTCGTAGTTGATAACAAATATTTGTTTAATTTTACAGCCAAGCCAATTTTTATTGGTTTAGGAATTGTTACATGACACATGTACTTACATATGCATGCAAATAAAGATATGCAATTTTTTTTTTGTGCTTCGAAGCTTAAAAACTAATTTATTCAATAAAATGCTTAGTTCGGTGTATGCTCGACGTGACTGATGGTTTTGTTACGTACAAATGTTTTTGCTTATCTGCCATTTCGACCACATAATATACACACAAATGCTTGCTCGCATGCGCAAACACACACGCGCACATAGATGCACACAAATATTCGGTTCATTGTTGTTTCGGTTAACACTGCGGTAAACGCTATAAATTAACTTGCACATAATTTACACAACCACATATGAGAATTTTTACATACATTTTATAATGTTGCATGTAACTGGAATTTTGTGGCTGCAACTGCTAACGCTGCAAAGCGAATCTTGAAATAAATTAGATGCTACAAATTCGATTCAAATATTGAGCGATGGCAAACGGGAATGATTGAGTGATTGAGAAAATGATTGAGGAGTGATTGATAAAGTAATTGAAGTTTCATATGCGATTACACAAAACTAGGGTTGCCATTTGTGGAATATCATAAAAATTACCCATACGACATTTAGCCAAAAATTACGATCTTAAAAAAGAATACTCGGTTGCTCTTTAAGGTACATATGCATGTTTGCAAGTTTTTATGGTGTTTTTATAATCGAAGACAATATTTTTTTTTTAGCGTCTTACTTGTATTTTTCCGACAACTGTGCGTTATTCCAATTTTGACGAGGCTATGTGTTGCCTGGGAAACCTGTCTTGTTACGATATATGTTTTGTTCAGGAGTGGAACTTTTCTGCATGAGCGTGCTTACAAATCCTTTTCTATTAGTTTATTACTTAATCTTCAATTGAACACTGACATCTGCAAGGTACTCTTGAGGTCCTTCGACGAAAAAAGTGTTTGTATTTTATGCCGCGAGTTTCTTGTTCGGCTTTTCCGTTGTGTCCTTAAAGTAAATTGCAAAAAACCTTTTTTTTTAACAGAGCTGTGCATTAATTCAGTTATATCCCTTATTTCCGTCCTTTATTAGTGGTTTTTGTAGTATTAGGTTCTACAGCTGTGCAGTGCACAACGTGAGTAATTCTGCCATAAGTTCTGTTACAAGCTCATGTTTCTCCAAATTTTTGTGGGGCATCCGACAGCCCTTGTTCTTCAACTCTGATCACAAACGGCAGTCCAATATATTTAAATCTGGACTTCCAGACGGAACTGCAGCTTTGAAACCAAGAATATTGATTTTAACCCACCGCTGGGTGGTTTTTGCCTTGTGTGATGGTAATAAGGATAATATGGTAAAAAGGATACCAATTAGAATCAAAGCGCTTATGTCATATCGGTTTTGTGTATATGATATTTGTACACACCAATTAATTAAGGTTTTTAATTAAAGAAAAGTGAAATTTGTTTATATTATTTATTCTAAAACTGTATAAAGAGAGTATGAACAGTTTATCCTCTTTCTCGTTTCCTAATCGTATGAATTGTAGGTTATACAGATGTGACGTTGCGGCATTGAGGGTCAGGGTGGTATGCTCATGCCTGCGTAACGTAACATACATACGTTACCACACATAAATCTCCAACTAATTCGCATAATACAGCAGCTATTGGTTTCAACGAAGAAGCAACCCTCAAATAAATTTGCAAGTAAAATTAATTTAGTTTAAAATAAATTCGAGTTTTTTTAAACACACAGTTTGAATGAACTTGTCCCCAACCTACAAGTTTTTTGGTGTTTATGAGGAGCGTACGCATAGGGGGGGTTTTAGGCGTTACATTGGCAGCACTAACCATTTTTATCTTTCTCATCGCTTTTTTAACATTATGCAAAATTTTAACAGAAAATCCCTCTGAAATTTGTTTCTGCGTATGCCGCTGGTGTTAATAAAGAAACAGCTCTGTTTTCAAAAAGATTTTGAATTAATTTAAAACAAAAAAAAACTTTAACTTCGAAGCTATAATACCTTTCACAAATACAAAAGGTTCCTTACAAAAACTTCATTCCGATCGTACAGTTTGTATGGCAACTATCTGCTCCGATCTGAACGATTTCTCCGAAGATTGCATTATTGCTTTAGACATTACTCCATGCTAAATTTAGTGAAGATATCTCGTCAAATGAAAAAAATTTTCATACAAGTATTTTATTCCGATCGTTCAGTTTGTATTGCAGCTATATGCTATACTGGTCCGATATCGGCGGTTCCGACAAATGAGCAGCCTCTTGGGGGAGAAAAAGACGTGTGCAAAATTTCGCTTATATGCAGACAGACGGGCATGGCTAAATCGACTCAGCTCAGCAGGCTAATCATTTATATATATATTTTATAGAGTTTCCGACGTTTCCTTCTAGTTGTTACAAACTTCGTGGCAAACTTGTTTACCCTGTTAAGGGAATAAATATGGTAAATTAAACTTGGAGTTTTTAAAACACCACAGCGGGCATATTTTTTTTTAAACACAATAACTTTAATTCGAGTTTATGACGTCACATTAACCTATTATCATAATTTACCGGCTTTTACTGTTATTGAAATATAATTGACCTGCTAGCCAATCAAGTTGTAAGGATGATTTTTATTAGAAATATTGACATTTTTGCTAGTTGGGAATAATCAAATCTTTTTTTTTATCATTATTAGTATTTTGGAAACTAACCGCATTGACACATGGAAAAATATGTATGCATATGTAAATAGTAGTTTGTGTGACAGCATAAAATCAAGTGTTCGTTTTGCTGACACAACTTTCACGCGTCATAAGGCAGTGACAAATACGACAACTCACACGCACAAATACATTTCTATTGTCCAAGCAATTCATAACAGATAAATAAACGTGATTTCGGTGCATTCCACTAATATACTGCATAAATAAATGTCAATTTTATTTGGGGAAATTGTCGAGCTTACACACACAAACACACATATGTACGTGAAGCTGCGAATTCGTTATTTTTGTTTGCTAAACTATGAGGTGTCCACGTAGGGTATGTATGGTATGTGCAGATCTCCATGGCTAACATAACGAAATAAATAGATTTTCATATTTTTTGGGTTTATGAGTGCGTTTGCTTGCAAATATTTGTGTTAATTGTTTATGACACTCAGAGATATAAATAAAATTACAAAAATCTAATTTATGCCGACTGTTTGTTAGAGATAGGCATGAGGAGTTTTTGTAAGATATATATATAATATTATATTATCGATAAATATCTTTAAAATTGATTGCACCACTTTACCGTTAGCTATTTTCGAAAAAAAATTACCGAAAATCATAATTACAATAATAACATTTTTTTTTAATTTGACAAGTCCGTTTCTAATCGTGTATTTCGCAAACTTTTTTATACCGATAGTGTTGTTGTACGTATTGCGGTTTCATGGCAACAAAATCAGTGTTCATTTGTCAGTAATATAGAAAAGAGCAGAATTGTATCGGTATCCTCTCGGCTTTTATTATTATCGATATCTTGTTTGAGTGATAATTTTACCTGTAAATTATAATAATTTGTTTGGTTTTTTTTAATAGGCTTGCCGTTAGTATGGCGTCGTGTGAAAAAAAATTCCTAACCTTGTCGATTACAATTTTCTATTGGAATATTTTTCCCCTAAGTACGCCTGAATCATAAAGTTTCAACAAACAACGTTTTTGTTTTTGTGCCGTCCCAATTAATGTTGGTATTGGCTAGTTTACGCAATATCGGCCTTCTCCAGGTTATTTTTGGTCGCCCACGGCCTCTGCTTTCTTGTAAGTACCAGTAAACCGACATAATCGTGACGCTGTTCGTGTTTTTTTTTAGAGTGTAGCCTATGGGTACCTCCTTTTTAGTTTTTTAATTTCTGAGTGATGGAATTTAAAATCAACCATGTTTCGAAACGCATGCAGAGAATATTCGGAGTTTTATTACTCTAGAGATTTGCGAATTTTTCCATACCGACCATAGTTGTCCAAACGTTATTCTTACTTTGCCAATCCTACAGTTGACATCCGATTTGTTTGCTTCGTCAGTTGTTATATTGCTTCCGAGATAGCAGAAGCTGTCGACGACCTCGTTCTCGTGATTGCCAATCTATTTTAATTTCTTCTTGAATGGTTGAGTGTTATTGACTCTCATGGTCTTAGGTATTTATTCTAAGTCCGATAGTGTGTGCCAGCACCACTAGTTTGTTGACCTTTTCTTGCATGTCTGAACAGTTTGTGCGTTAAGAAACTAAGGGTTTTCGCAAAGTCCAAATCGAGTTGTGATGTATGGTAGTGTTGCTTTGTATAGGGTAAGCGGGCTTCGTCTAGAACGAATTCGCAGTTTTTATATACAGTTAGGATTATGCAAAATATTTTGTGAGAAAAGGAGTCCCTACTTAATGCAAATGGATTACCAGCCAGATCAGTATATTACTATTAAAAATTACAAAACTATGTTTCAATTCGGTTAATCGATATACAGATATCGTTCTTTAAAACCTTATTTATTTTTAGAATAAATTGTGGTAAATACATGTTGCCTTAAGTAAGTGTTAAGTTTATAATTTTATACAATATAGCATATACATACGTATATAAATAAACATTTTGGATTTTAATCCATTAAACACAACGTGTTCATATGCAAAGCAATTTCTGCCACGTCTACGTGCCTACTGCTGCCACAAATATTCATTTATTATATCGCTTGCTTTGGTTATTTCGAAGCGTAATAAAATTAAAATCCACAATGAAATGTAGAAATTTGTTTATCACAATCTGGTTAATAAATATTGTATGTGCTAAAATGTTGCATTTATGCATTTGCAATTCGAATTGACATCTGAAAAGAGAACAAGGATTCTTCGAAGCTTTTATGCATTCAATTGAATATAAGAATTTTTCGATATTCCAATTGAACGATTCCAGAAATTCTTTTACCTGAAACAAATAAGGAATAAATGATTGATTTTTTGATTTGATATTTGAACAAAACACTTGTGAGATTAAAAAAAAAAAAAAAAAACAACTTACCTTGTGAGATCGGGGACATGGCGCAGAATCATCCTGAAATATTCTTCGAGAATACTGCTCTTCGATGACTGGTAGTACATGCTTATTTAAAATTGAAATGCAGGCATTTTCGTTCATCCGACGTTAAATAAGAGTAACTTCTTTCGTTCCATTGCTGCTGAAGTAGCACCACACCATTCTAACAACTGACGGTCTTAGTCTTAGTAGGCATTCAGTTTTGTACCTTTCACTAGATGGTGTATACCAAAGAGGTTAAACTTTGCTTCATCCGAAAAGATCACATTCTTCCAGTGCTCGACAGTCCAATTTTCATGAATTTTGACCCATTGGTATCGTTTTTTCGGGATGTCTTCTTAAAAGTTCGGCATTTATCAATCTCCTACGCACAGAAGATGAATTTATTTTGACACCAAATGCATCCAAGAACTCCTTCCTGATGTCTGCCGAAGATTTGTATCCGTACACATTCGCTTAATCATCCGGTCTTCAGCAGGCGTCGACTTTTTTCGTCGTCCATATCCGTTTTTTCGCTCCGTTGAACCCGTGTCATCTGTTGCCGATTTTTTAAAGAAAGTTGCAGATTCTTTAAAAAATCGGCAACAGATGATTTGCTGAATCCTACTTTACACCCATATGCTTCGATCTTGGCATATTTTTTACACTTACACTTATCACGAGTCAACTATTTCACTTATTGGTTAAATGATGATTATTTTTATACACAAAAAAAGTTACTTGCCGCTAAAAAGATTCATACCTAAAGTATTGAACTTTAAAAAGGGAAAATTTAACTGTCCGGTATTGTTAAAAAATTTGTTCGTGAATGCTTCTCAAACGGAGCCAACAACAACACTGTAGCGATGCCCCAGCCTCCATATTCGTCAGACATGGCTCCGTTTGAGAAGCATTACGACGATTGAAAGAAGCTCAGACGTGTGTGCATAATATCGAACGGGCACTTTTTGAAGGCGACAATATTAATGTAGGCAAATAATAATTTTTTTCTCAAAAACGATAAATATAATTTATTAAAATGTAAGCCATTTAAAGTCATACAAATTTGATTGAATTAATTTAGAATTCCTTAAATTAAAAAAATGTGTACATATATATTGTAGATATACCAAAATTACATAAATATATATACTTATATATATACAGTATATATATATATATATCTATATTATGTACTTTCACTGTTTGTAAAAAGTTAATTGAGTTATTTCCACTGATATTGATCCTAGCAACAATTTATTATCGATATACTAAATTATCAATAAAAAACAATTATCTAAGTTTTAATAACTTATGGAAATTTAGATATTCGCATAAAATAATTCTAATAATGACATTCAGAAGCAATTAACTTCAATAAACAATACAATAAATATTCAATACATATATACATACATACATGTATATGTAACCGTTTCAGCGAATATCATATCTGCACTGAAAAACATATTTACCTACATATGCTTGTTTGTATGCAAATGAGACTATTAATTATTCATAATAACGGTGCAATTATGCTTTTATGTATTAAAGCATAAATATATTTCTTTCTGAATAAATTTGTTCATCTACATAGGGGATATTGAAATACCTATTTCAATTAAAACTTTCGGGATAGTATGAGTATAAAATTATTGCCTTTTTTGTCAAGAAGTCGAAGCTCAGCCTTATATTATCTATACCTAGCGAAAAACGCAACCGAAAACGTCGGAGACCCTATAAAATATATACATAAATGATCAGCGTGATGAGCTGAGTTGATTTAGCCATTTCCGTCTGTCTGTATGTATACGAATTAGTCTCTCAGTTTTTAATCTATCGATCTGAAATTTTGCACTTGTCCTCATCTCAGTTAAATATAAATATCAAATCGCGAACATTTTGGTTCGATTATTTTTCACAACTTTAGACGTGGATTAACTCAGCAACAGTTCCGTCCAATTTTTGCCCATGATGTTCCATCAAGGAATTCAAAAATAAGATCGCACGATTGTGACAGGTGAATCGTGGATTTGGGCGTATGAGCCAGATGAGCCGAATCCAACAAAAGTTGTTCGCGCACGAATCAAATGGTTGTCTGTTTTTTTTTTGGAAAAACTGGACATGTCGCAGCCATATCACTAGAACAACGTAAAACAGTAAGTTCTGAGTGGAAGACGGATCACTCTCCGTCACGACAATGCGAGCTTTCACACATCGACTGAAACAACTGTATTTTTGAGTACTCAAAACATCGATTTGATGAGTCATCTCCACGTACAGTCCTGACTTGGCACCGAATGACTTCTTTTTATTATTAGGCATGCAAAAGTGTATAGATCTTAATGGAGAATATTTTGAAAAACAATGATTAATATTTGTTATTGTTCGCTAATACCGAATTATAAAGGGCAACCCTCGTATCCAATATCACTATTAACATTCTCGTTTGGGACTGGAAAGGAAATTATCGCTTATAATTATGATTATTTTTTTTTTCTTTACAGCTTACTTGAAATCGGCAAATTTTCATACCAGATTACGGGTATTCGAGAATGTGATCAATGTCCTTATAAACTATAAGTTATGATTATTATTGAATTTACTTTTCCAAAAGAAGTTATCATTATAAAATCTAAAAATACAGTTACTTATTCATAGATTCATAATCCTGCAATTTGAATTTACAGTTAGTATGTTAAAATTTTCAATTTTCATCAAATGCGTATGGAAAGCTCTGTTTCTTTTTGTTGTTTTAGCTTGTTTTATAAAACAGATCTTGAGAATCCCTTAGCTCTCTTTATTTTCATTAATTCTTACAGTTCTTCGCGTTTTAAGTAGTAATTGTGCAGGCGTTAAAATGTTCTTAGCTTCAGCCAGTAGCTGTATCGAGACTTATGGCATGAATTGCCCTACTTCTCCTAAGACTTCTGAAGCTTCTTTTCTTGTGATTGATCTATTATCTTTAGTCTTCAGAAAGATTTTATAATTATCTAGTATTGATTTGATTTTTTTTTCATATTTTAACTTCAGTCTATTAATGAATTCTTTCGCGTTTAGTTCTGAAATTATAATATCGTTTGCTGTTTAAGCCAACATCTTTACTATTATTTCGATTCAAGTTATTGTGATCATCATAATCCTCAGTAGGAGCCCAGAAGATACTGCCATAGACTGTTAGGATCAACCATGAGTAAAACAGTCTAGCTATTGACGTTATGTTAAGAAGACTTTATCTTCCGTTCTCAACAAGTGTAATCTTCTATAAGCTCTATGTTATATAAAAATTGTTGGTCTTTCGTGAGAACCTTTTGGAACTTTTAATCGCCGTCCAAGGAAGGCGGGCGACTTGTAAATAGTTCTTCAATGTCCATAGATTTTTGTATGTGATTCATACTATTGTAATAAGCGAGTCAAACATTCTAACGTCGGAGCCCATTATTTCGGGATTGCTATGCCTAGTTTGTGTGCGTCAAAGAGATTTAAAATATCTAAAATAATAGCATATAATTCTAGTCATAATCTGGTTAGCGAGTACATTGGCGATGCCGAATTTATGAGCTTTGTCAGCTTTTAATTGAAATTATTTGTACAAATATTGTATATTTACCCATTAAAATACATATTTATGTGTATAATTCTTGTGTGTGTCTATCATTTTACCAAATATGTTTACAAATATTAATGTACAATAGAGTTTACTTTAACACCTATTATTTTTGTTTTCGCATTTAAAAGCTTATGCAAGCTTAAGCCACCATCCGATTGTGTGATTTCTTTTTTTTGTTGGTTGTTTTGAGAGACCGAAATTTGCAATTTTTTTCCAAATTTGTTTAACTAAATTACACCGTTATGATTTGCCCACACATTGCTTACAATTTACACGCTCATTATCTACTCACTCGACGCTCATGGCTCATAAATTTCTCATTCAGTTTGCCCATCTACCGTATGGAGGGTTGCCACATAAGTACATAGACATATAATTATGCTGGCCGTAATGTTTCTAAATGAAACTGAACAGAATTAAAAGCTCGTGACACTAGCGTAAAGTATAAAGTAAACTGAAATTTATTACCTTCGTTTAACGTGGCTTTCGAAGAGCAGAATGTGGAATGCCGCTTATGAAATGAGTAAATAAGATGTATTGAGAGAATTTATGCCCAGGAGTCTAACCGAGTGTGTTGTCACTTTAAACGGAGGGAAAATGAAGTTTATTTTTTTGCCGCAACATTCAGATGATAAATTCGTGTTACAGAACTACCCATTTGAATTTTTTTATAGGAGTGATAATGCTTTTGATAATACAAAATTAGAAAAAAAGAAATCAGAGCTTAAAGCCATTAGAATATTTAAAAAAAATTCCTGATATTCTTATGCAGTTAATGAATTGGTGGTTTAGATAATATAGTTTATAGATAATATAAAATTATATGATTCATCCAGAGCTAGCCTCTAATAAATTTAACCGTATTTGCCTCGGTTATATTCGACAAATAGTAGGTTATACAAATTAATAATTCGCCAGGTTGAACAGCTGAGGGGTTTACTTGCGTTTTGCCGTAATTTTTACAACCTTTGTTCGATAACTTTGCTATGATAGTATATTAGGATTGAATACGTATCCACGTCAATGCTTACCTCGAGGCCGGAGTAGGAGTATAAAGAAAAGGTAGCTTATAATAAGAAATCTCCGTAGAGCCTTCAGAAAATTCTCACACTCAAATGAAAGTTCTCCAGCGTAATGACATTGGCGACGTTCTTTAAGCCTCGCCTTCTCTTTCTTACTTTCGTACTTTGCAAACAATACTTTTTATTTTCTATCGTCCCCACTATTTTTCCGTGACTCATCGTTGAAGATAAATAATTTACATGGTTGTCGAGACTAGTTTTATTTTGTGTGAAATGGACTGTTTCGCGTTTTCTTATACACATATCTCAACAACATTGATATTCACACCTGTTTGAAGATTTTTGGTCTTCGTGACCTAGTTTATATTGAAATAAGAAATAGATCTTATTGAGCTCAGAGTGGCTTTCGCTCTGAAAAATTCTTCGAAATTGTAATTTAATCAATTACGTAACAAAATTTTTGCACATATTTGAAATCAAATCTGGTAAAAACAAATTCCAATATCATTTCTAGGAGATAGAGCTTCATACTCAGGTTCGTTTACGGGAATTTCAGGAGATAGATGGTTTGATATTTATTTTAGACCAAATTAATAAAAACAATGCATGACATCAAGCCTTTCATCAAACACATTAAACTTAATTGCCTTTTATAAAATAAAATATATATAAAAAACAAAAAAAAAATTACGACGAAAGTTAACTTTTGATGTTGTATTATTTTCATTCTTTTTCAGATTGATTCGTTGACAAGCAATGAAACTTTATGCTCAAACTAGCACTTAGTCCATAGTTACAGAGAATAAGGTAAGCGAAATATTTTAAACTAAATTCTTGCAATATTTTCTTCAAAAATTGTAATAAGAAACAAATTCAAAATATTAAAACAAAATTTAAGCAATTGGTGCGTATGTTTTAAATCATTCCATAATTTACAGTTCATAGCTTTTTTATTGATATCAATACTTTATTTTCTAAAATGATGTATACCTACACACAACCTATGAGAAGCCCTTTGGCAGATAATTTGTTGTGTGAATTTTTGAGAAATGCAAAATTTTAAATAAAGCTTTAATTTTTATTATTATAAAGAATTATTAACCACAAAAGCTCAGAAATATATAGCTCAACTAAAATTAATGTGCCCAATTAAATTTGAATTAAAATAGTAGCCTCAAAAAAACGTTAAAAAATAAAACTGTATCGATCAAGGTAGCCTCAACTTCGATTGAAACCAAATTTTATCTGTCTGTAGTTTAGATGGAATTTTTATCGCGACTACTTGAGCGGCTTTTATGGTTATTGCAACAGGTGTATAAGTTTTGTCATTTGTTTGATATTACAATTTTGGAATTGTGTTCTTTTTGTGATTTGTAACCATAAAGAAAACGGGGTTTAAAAAGAATGTACAAAGCATGAAAAGGCTTATGTAAGTAAAGGATGGTCTCATTACCACTTAGCATAGTTACCATGAAAATGCTAGAGCAATTCGGCTCTGAGTTGTAGTAATAACGATCGTATTTTTTTATATATAAAATTTATTTATATAAAAAAATGCTCTTTCTTTCCGAAATTTGGTTAGATTTAACCCTATGCTACTGAAACCTTAATTAGCAACTCATTGTAAGAAATTTCGAACGCATGTAGAATTCACTATTTTATCCAAAATCTATTTTGAGTGCAAATTATTTCGATAATATTAAAAATAGTATTCAAAAGCAACCTCCTCACTGTTCCAAAAGTATTTTGTAAAAATATTTTAGTCCGTAGAGTTGACATAGTCATGCTATCAGTTCGGAAATCCATTTGGAGGTCAACTAAATATCTAGTTAGAGAGATATCCAACTAAAATAGTTATTTTTTACGAATTATCCCTTTGGACTGACTATATTGGAGCACTATAAAATTTAGCATATGTTGGTTAAATGGCTGATCCAGAGATTGCACTTCGACTACTATAAGGAGTTTTTCTTTTATTCAGTTAGTTTTGATATCTGAAAGTATGAGCTCCAAAGTATTTAAGATCTCGCAAACGCGGGACAATTAAGAAGGAAGTGTTGATATGTTTCCACCTCGTGTTTTTTCATACAGCTTCGACAGTTAGGTAAGATTCTTAACCTTATAGCAAACACGTCGATAGGGCAAGGGCCTGTTAGAACCCCCACAACTAGATAGAGGCTAGCCTTGCTGAGGGCAAAGAGCTCACTGGATCTCTTACGATCGATCTTGGGCCAAAAGGATCTTGCGATAGCGCGTAAAATCAGCCTAGCTATCCCGTAACAGTAATAACTCCTTACGTAAATAGATATAAACAAGAAATTTAGTGAAATATTTACTTATTATAAACAGAATGTACACGCAACAGTTTTCGATATAGAACCGACCACTATTATATACAGCTGCGATACCGTAGATTTGCAGCAATAACTTCTACAATTATGCAGATAACAACGACAAATTTTATGAGAAACTTACCTACCATAAACAAGATTGCAAACATATTCGTAATAGGCCCACTGTAATATATGTACCTATAGTTACCGTACAGCTGATGTCCTAGATTCGGATTTTTGGTAATAACTCCTACTATTAAGCAGCTAGTGACATGAAATTTTCTAATCTAGTCTTTCATTAAATTTCAAAGTGTGAAAAATTGAAAATTTTCTAGGTCGGACTACCAACACATACATATACAATTCTTTCCAAGTTCTTATAACCCATGGTACAGTTATTATTACCTACAATTTTTGCCGCTTAAATCTCTTATCGTTATATAACTTTTTATGGGTTTATGTATTGTTGGTGTTTGAAGACTGTTTATATCTTGAATGCTGCTACAAAGAACCATTATGCCAACCAAACTCAACTGCCTCAACGCAACCAATGTTGCTTGGTTATAAATTAATCTCCGAATTTGGTTTTTTCAAAAAGTTTCGTGAATATAAATTGATTCAAAACCACTAATCCATACATACATACGCACACACTTATTAACATAAGTGGGGAATAACAAATAAGTAGTATTAATTATAAATAACAATAACAATGCGAACACCACAAAGTAGCTTGCATACCCGTGCATGTGTGTTTGTGTGTGTGTGGGTTCGAAAAAATATTTAAATGCGATTTAACGCACACATACCACAAGCTGGAATGTCATTAATTTAATGCAATTGAATTACGTGTACTATTGCTGTTTTCATGCATTTTTACCACCACTACTACTGCTCGTGCAATTTGATGAATTAAAACTGTTTTTCTTCACTTGTGGGTTTAACAGCGCAGCCACCAAGATGCCAACGACAGCAACAACAAAAATTGTAATAATTGCTCTTAAAAAAAACCAGAACAAAACGTTGCACTAAAGCTACAATACCCTACACAAATACAAAATATCCTTGCAAGAATTTTGATCGTTCAGTTTGTATGGCAGCTTAATGCTATAGTAATCAGATCTGAACGATTTCTTCGGCGATTACAGTGTTACCTTAGAAAATGACTCATATCAAATTTCGTGAAGATATTACGTCAAATAAAAAAGTTTCCTATTCAATCACTTGATTCCGATTGTTCATTTTGTATGGTCGCTATATGCTATAGTGGACCGATGGCAGCCTTTGCGATAAATAGGTTGCTTCTTGTTGAGAAAAGGACGGGTGCAAAATTTCAGATCGATATCTCAGAAACTGGACGGACAGACAGACGGACGCTGATCATTTATATATGTATGTACATATATACTTTATAAGGTCTCCGACATTTCTTTTTGGGTGTCTTAAACATCGTGGCAAACTTTATAAATCATGTTCAGGGTATAAAAACAAGAGATTCAAAATTGCACACACACAATACATACATGCAAAAATATGTACACACAAAAAAGCAAGCGACCACCACGATTTGACATCGCTTGCTTAAATTCAATTCTATGTCTTGTGTTACTTATATAACTAACTTGTCAATTTGTTGTGTTTACCGCATTTGTTTGCAATTAAATGTTGCGCAGTGCAACAGCAACAACAGCAATATAATTTTGTTACACACAAAATTTAATTCTATGCAACAAAGCCAAGCACAATGGCGGTAAAGTGCAGTTTTTTTATTTTTTATTTTGTGTTTTTGTTTTTACGTCCGTCTTCTTGTTTGCCGAGTGGAAAATATTTATAAACCGCTATTCCTCTGCCGCATCCACTTGTTGCCCGCCTGTTCTGCTGCTTACTCGCTGTCACTGCTGAACAATGTCAAACTTTCGCAATTAAATTATTTAAGTGCGTCGGCGTACAATTGCATTCATCGCATTATGCAATTTCGCTGCGACGAGTTAATGGCTGGTGCAACAGGTGGTTGTGAGGGAAACGTGCATATGTTTCTATCTACGTGAACAATGCCTGGGAATACTGAGACTGGAGATGACTGCAAATCAAAAAAGTTAAAATGATGTTAAATAAAATCTATTCTGAAACTTGTAAGCCGTTGAACGCAGAGCTTTGGGTGGGTCAAAGCTTTTGTTTTGCAAGAAAGTATGGCAGAACTATTTCCAAATAGTATGACCACCTGGTAAAAAAAAGTATTTATAGACACTCTTTCGTTGTTAAGGTTCTGAGCAACATGCGGCCCTTAAGTGAACACTAGTTCAATTTCCACAACAACCTGTTCTACGCTACTGAAATTGACCTAGATCTCATCCCGCAAAGGGCTGTTATTACGATAAGTAAAAAAAAAACATATGTGAATATACACATTTTTGGTAGATTTCCGAAAATCACCACTTCCATCAGGAGGATCTGGGCGCGATGGTACGTACACATGTGTCCCATCAACAAACACTAAGTGGGATATATTAATACGAACAAATAAACCCATCGGTTTCATAAACGAAAACTTCTGTTGGGACGTATTTGTCCCAATAGGTCCAAAAGAGTTAAGCGAGTATGACTCTACTATTTCTTGGTAGATTCTCAAAACTAAATGGTTATGACTAGCATTTGCGATCTCCGAAGATCTCCTTGAATGTTTCAGTGGTAAATATTTGGAACGTTGCTGAGAAAAGCTTGATCAGTTCTTAAAAGAAGAAAACAAGGGTATATGCAATTTTTTCGAATAAACTAAATGGTTTTTAATCTTTCTTAGTTGTTTAAGGAAGGACTATACCATCCTAGAGTAATGCTGACATTAAGCTAGAATAAGAAACCGAACACAGTTTAGTATATATTGAGGTGAAAATATCACTTGATTCTGATAAGGTTCGTGAAATCCAACTTTTTGTTTCGATAAACGATCTAAACCTTATTCACGATTCTTAAAGCAACTTATCTGTAGTATCTCCATGTACGCTCTTGTAGATGCGTTGCAGAGTTTGGATGACAGCTTATACGTCGGAAGATAGGTTACTAACATCGGATTGTGATAATACAACTTGTTAAAAATATTAAATTCGATTTTTGGCTTACATATTCAGAGTCATGTAATTTCTACTTGCATCCCTATCAATCTTGGTAAAAGTTCCTTAGAGTTTTCCATCTTCTTTTCGACTTGCGAAAGGACTATTAGAATCTTAGCAGATGATGTACAAGTTTGTCAAAGAATCTAAAGCCAAAATGTGAGCTGTCAAGGCGCTGCGAAATCGTAGGGAACCACACAGCAAGTGAATTACTCACTCGAATCTGAGTGTTCTGAATTTACGAGCTCGGTTTTTCAGTCCTCTTTGTGAAATTGTTACATGGATAACATATAGAGGGTACAAGTATATAGCAAAGGTGCTTGGTGGAACATTTAGCCTTTCTCAATAGGTGAACGTTCGAGTTGTA